CGACCTGCTCACGGGAGGGCGATGGGCTCTGCTGAGGTCTGCCTCTCCGGAGCGGAGCGCGCAGGACTCTGCGCGGGGCGAGGCGGCTCGTGTGCACCTAACAGCTCTCTGTTTTCTGCGGTCTCTCCGAAGAACCTGACGTACGAGATCATCCTCACGCTGGGGCAGGCGTTCGAGGTCGCCTACCAGCTCGCCCTCCAAGCCCAGAGGGCGAAGCCTCTGGGTGCTGCAGCAGGAGAGACGATCGAAACGAAATCTTCCAAACCGGTGCCTAAACCGCGAGCCGGCATGAGGAAATCCGCAGTACGTATGCACGCGCCAGGATCTGCGTGGTCTGAGCTGGGGTTTCTCTGGGGCGCCGCACGCAGAAACCTCCCTCTCCGTGGTGGGGGAGCCCGCATGTGGACACGGTGCCGTTGGTCTCGCAGTGTCCGTGGCTCTGCCCGCAGCCCTGCTGCGGTGTTCGGGCTTCCCCCGGGTAGGATGAGGACAAGCAGAGGTGGGAACAGCCGGGGTGGGATGGGGGTTAAGTGCCCAGGACAGCTTCCACGTGCAAACCCCGCAGAGCCACAGGGTATCCAATGGTTTGCAGCCCGTGAGTGCCCCCGTAGCCAAATCCAGGAGCAGGACTGCCACATAAGCCATTGCCTTCCTTTAATGTCTCCTTTTGTCTGTGTTGTGCTTGCTCCCCCCGCTCAGGTGCCGCTCCCTCCCGACACCCGCTGTTGTTACTGTCACACCTGTACAACACACCGCCCCTCCTACCTGCCGCTGCAGTCTGTTAGTCCCGGAGCCAAGGTCTTTACCCTTCTTCCTGCCATCTCCCATCACGAACCGACCCGGGCTGCCTCCCCGCTTCACGCCTCTCCCGCTGTGGTCCCGTGTCCTGCCTCGCTGCTGCCTTCCCTCCCCGCTCATTCCAGGGCCGTGGCGTGGGCTCAGATGAACCTCGGGGACAAGGCGCTCGCATCCGTCCCCGCTGATGGAGAATGGCATCTCCCCACTAACTGCTCTTCCTGGTGTTGTTAAGCTTCCTGTAGGATCCTGATTTAGGAGGACAAGATGCAAGAGCCTTGCTTGGTCAGGAGAGTAAATCAGGCGGGAGCTCACCTGCCCGGAGCTGTCTCCCTCTCTCCCCCTCTGCCTCTCCTTTGGTTTTTGATAGTGCCGTCTTCAGAGCGCTCAGGTTTTCGCGCTGCTGCGTGAGCTGAAGTGAAGCTGACGGTATCGGGGGCTCGCGGGCCTGACTCAGGAAGTCATCCCGGGGTGCTGGGTTGACTGACGTGGCTAGACGTGTTTTAGCCGTGAAGGACACAAATGCCTCCCCAGTGAGAGCCGCTTCCCCGCACGCGTACACATTAGGCAGCAGCCTCTCCGTGCCTTGAACCCTCCCCCGTTCTGTCCCAGAGGCTCGCGCGACCTAACATGCCCTTTCTCTCCTTCTTTTCTAGCTGGAGCCCCCGGAAGCGGACCAAGACTCCCAATCTCATGCCAGTGTCTCCTGGGTCGTGGACCCCAAACAGGACTCCAAGCGGACCCTCAGCACTAAGTATGAGACCACTATCTTCTAAAGCAAACACACCCCGTGTCCACCTAGTCTAACCGTGCCTTTGCGATCTGATCTGTCTGCTCTTCTAAACTCCCTCTCCTCCAGCTGCTCGCGCTGAGCCCCGCGCAGGCGCTGCGTCGAAGGCAGCAGCGCTTAGGAGACTGTAGACTTTTAACGGCTTTTGTACCTGATCACTGCTGAACACTGTGAATTCTCCTCACTCGGAAACAAGGGTAACGCGCGGTTAGATACCCGGGAGGTGGGAGGGCCGGAGGGATGCAGGCTGGGGGAATCCGAGATGTGGATCCAGGAAGCCGCCTGCTGTTTTCACGTCTTTCCCCTCGCTCTGGCACTGTGAATCCCTGGGGCAACGTGACACGCCCCAGGCCTATTTTTTTTTTTTTTTTCTATTTCACCTTCTTATCCTTGGACTGATGGAGATCTCTTGTCTCTGCGGTGCACGCGCTCCCTCCTCCTAGATCCTTCTTCCCGACCGAGCCACGGCTGCGTACTGTTCAGTGAACTCACCCCTCCTCTTACCCGCCGTCGAATCGACACTAACCACTGTGATGCTGCCTGCAAATAACACGCTCACTAGATTTCCTCACGGGGACCCTGCCCACGCTCTCTCCCCTCGAAGCCAGAGACCCTCCTCTGATGGGAGCGCTGGTTTGGGTGTGATCGTTCCCACTGTGAGCTCTGTCCCCTCTCGGAGATGAGGTGCGGTTTTGGTCGCGTTTCAGTCCCTGGTAGGACTTTTTTTTTCTTCTGTTTACACTCCCCAAGCTCCTCGTGAGCCATGGGCGTAGCTCTCACTTGGCAGACCGTAAAGAGGTGAAGCTTTTGAGGGCACACGTTGCTAGCCCCGTGCTGGGGAGGGTGGTTGAGAGGAGCTGGGCACTTGAGAGGTCTGGTACAGCAGACGGAGCTCTGCTGCGCTCAGGCTCGCTGCAGTCAGACTTTGCCGAAGGGAGAAGCGTGATTGAAGTCAGTCTGCTGCCGATCCCAAAGCGCGTTTCCAGTCTACCAACCCTTGCACGAGGAGGGCTATAGGGATCTTGAAACATCTGTCGTTTCCATGGAGTGAGGATTTCGCCTGGAGACGGCCCTGCCATGGGCGCCTCTGCCCTTCCTGGCTCTTTCTCAAGTGTACGTTTTTCCTCTGGGAAAACGTCCCCGTTTTTGTGTGTATCAGCAGAAGCAGACTCAATTCCCGAATATGACAGGGAATCACTGAGATGGCCAGGCATTGGTACAGACTGGGGCAGGTCTGGGAATGCCGTGCGGCAGCGTGGGACGCTGGGAAAGCCCCAGCGAGCCCTCGGTGGCCCGACCCTGTTCCTTTGCTTGCCTTCGCAAAGCTCGCTGAGGTGAAACCGAGGAGGAGTACGACCTGGTGAGTAACAGCGCTGGGAGGCAGGACTGCCGCCCCGGTGCTGCTTCTCCCTGACGTGCTCTGCGGCCAGGCGACTTCGCCTCTCTTTGCCCCCTCCATGGCCGGGATGGGGACCTGCTTACCTACCTCTCGGGGGATGAGAGGCTCGCTCCGTTCGCAGAGCTTTTAAGACCCTTTAACGAAAGCTGCTGTGACTTCCACACCGTGGCAGCAAACCCCCGGCGCTCGGCCTCGCTCTCCCAGCCCCTCGCACAGGCCTTGGACCCCGACCAGCTCCTGGCAGGCAGCGGCTGTTGCGCCTTTCCCAGGGAGAGGGCTGAGCAGATGGAGCAGCGGGAGAAGGGCTGCACAAAGCTCTTGGTGATGTGCACCTTGATGTGTCTAAGCCCACCGTGGGTTTTGCATCCTGGGAAAAAATTCCCTCGCAGCCCAGTTCTGAGAGCCTGTGGGAACAACAGCCCTGGGTTATTTGACCTGGTATTTGGGGCTAGAAGCAGCTTCTCCCAGTTTTGCTGGGGTTTTAGAGCTGTTGCCTCAAAGTTTCTGTTTCCCCAGACCTGCGGCGAAATCTGATGTTTCAAAATCTTTATTTAGCTCTTTCTCAGGAATAAGTTTGATCCCCCAAGTCATTTGTGACTGAATGGCGCTGAGCAGCAAACTGACTTCAAAATAAGGGCCAGGCCAGTACGAACCCAGCGAGAGGACTAAAAGAATTGTCCTAAAGCAGGAAAAACAAAAAAAAAAGGAAAGCCTGGTCTAGTACATATATTTCGTATGTTGTGGAGCCCCTTAACACAGAGCCGGCGCTCCTCTGCCCGAAGAGCCCCGAAGCAGAGCTCACACAGCAGCTGCCCAAAGTGCTGCAGTGCCGCCCCGTGAGCAGAGCCTTACGGCCGGCAGAACGTTGCTGAGGATTTGATCAGCCTCTTCCCAACCCGTAAGAACGCCCTGAGGGTTTCTGTCTGCCTCAAAGAGAACCTGAACCGATGGTAGCGATGGTAGCGCAGTTTCTGTGCGTAAGCATGGACCACGCAGTTCCCTGCGCCTGACTTCAGAGGGTCTTGCGTCTCCCCCTCCTTTCAGCTGGGGAGGGCAGGTTCCTCAGCACCTCCTAACCGCCGGGCACTAGCGCACGTGCCTTGCTCAGGGTGACCGTCCAGAGCCAGCTGGGACCAGCCCTGCCTGAACTACAGAGCTTCCGCTGCGTGTCCGTAACCCTCCCGGTTGTGTCTCATCTCCTGGCCGTACGCCTCCTCTTTCCCAGCCCGTGGGTTTTTTTTTGTATGACTCGGAAATCATTCATTCCATTATCTTCCTTTCTGTTTGACAAGCTGATCTGCGGGCAGCTGGCTCCTACCACGGCAATGTAGGAACGGGGCAGAGACCTAAGAAGCAGTGGCGTGCCGACACGAAGATCATCTCCATCTGGCACTGGTGTCTGCCTCGGAGTGGGTGCATGGCTGCTCGGTGAGGGCTCCCAAAGCAGAGGGGGGAAAGGGATCCCAGCCACCAGCTGAGGAAGCGGCTCTCTCCATTCCTGGCAGAGCAAAGTTGAGACTTCCGAGGGCGATGTCACCTTTTCCGAGTTTGAGACAAACGTCTTTCGACCCGTTTCTTTTTTTAAACATGCGAAATGATACAGGGCAAACCCAGTTCATGGTTTCAATGTAGCGCTGCAGGTTTTTTTGAGGAAAAAAATGCGTTTATCTCCTTATTTCCTGAGAATCCACGCAGTCCGGCAAGGAGCACAATCGAAAGTCTTGGTGGGAGCGGTGTGCGCGTCCCTAACGGTACGTAAAGTTGCTTCGGTTCCGGGTGAACAGCAGAGAACACTCAATTCTTGGAAATAACTTCCTCCAGTGTGAGGAGCCTGGCAGGGTAAGTCTGGTTTCAGAGCTGCTCCGGGGGTGTGTAGCACATGGAAATAAGGAGAAGAGTCCGCAGAGGATCTGTCACCCCGGCATGGCTGCGGCCAAGCGGGACGGATGGTACAAAGCCCGCTTCCCCTGCAGGGAGCGGTCGCGTTCCGATACCGGACGTTTCTATGGCCAGGACACCATTTCTTCCCCTTTCCGCACCGAACGCCTGGAGACGCCGCCTTCCTCCGGCCTTGTTTTGAAATGCAGTTCACGCTCCGGCGGGTTGGGTTGGTTGGGGTTTTGTTTTTTAAAGCATATTCACTTGTGATTTAGCACTTTTTTGATACTAGCTCATTATTTAATTAGTGCGGTTTCAGAAGACGAACAGACTGAGAGGAGGTAAACTGTGGGCATTGCACTGACACGGTCCGGAGGAGGAATCCTATCAGCCTGATGGGATGATGTCTGCCATCCCCAAACACCACCACCCCAAGGTGCTGCGTGCTTACTTTTCTTTCGGATTACCCGAATATTTAACAGTAGTTTTGGCCGTGAGCGACGCGTGCTTTCACAGCACTCTTCCCCTCGAGGGAGAAGACGTTAAAACAGCTGAGATTTTAATTCTTCGGACGCGGAAATGTAGTGCGGCACGTCTGTTCTGCTCCCGACAGGCCGTGTCGTGGCTGGGGACGTGGTACCCTGCTGCTTTGCTAGCGATGTGCCCGGGGAATTTCTCTTTAGCTCCGGTTGCTGCTGTCAGGATTCCATTTAGTCTCCAGCCAGCGAGGCTGGGATGGAAGTGAACCATAATCCCAAGGGCATAGACCTGGAAATGATCGGGGGGCGGGGGGATGGAGAAGAGGAGAGGTTTTTTTAAGTTGATGAATTTAGGAAACCTAACATTCCTTGTTATGCATATGTTGCAGTTCATAACTGGTGTTAAGTGTAAATATTTGGTGTGTTGGCAACAAGTCTTTTTTGGAGAGATTGCAAATTGAACCTCTGCTTGGGAGGAGGGATGCCTTTCTTTGTTGGATGCATGAGCTTTGTTGAAGGTCGGCTTGGAGGTGAAGTGGTGATGAAGACTCCCATCTCCAGGGGCCTGGTGACCCCGGTGGTCCTTTCCAGTGCCGCGTGTAATCCTCTGGTTGTCTTTAGTGATCCAACAGTTCTTTAGCCAGATCCTCTCACTTCGCAGACAAAGCAGTTGTTTCAGCAGTGCATCTCCCCTTTTCTTTCGATGGGTTTTCTCAAGGTACTTGCAAGCTGGAGACCGAGCCTGGGCCATGCCAATCACCGGCTCCCAGTAATCCGCCAGCCCATCCTCCCTGCAGGGTTTTGTGCTATCTGGAGGAAAGTGCCCTCAATTTCTGGTGCTGAACAGGACTTGGAATCACAAAGCATCTGCTGTATTACCTGCCTGGGAAAAGGTGGTGCTGCCCTGGGCCTCGGTCCCCTTTTCAAGAACAGAGTGTGTTTTACAGACCTCCCTCTGCGCACGGTGAGTCCAGGCCAAGAACTCAAGACAGGTAAACTGAGACACGGAATTATGTCTGTATAGGAGGGGATGATTTTTTATGTCCAACTGAAGCTGCTTTATCCTTTTTATTTTAAAAAAGCCCCACCACCTAACCTTGGCTGTTCAGCTGTCTCTGAACTTGCTTTGGGCTTGTTCTTTTCGGAGGCAATTATCTCGTGGGGTACGTGCCTGTCCCCCTCGCCGGGCGGAGGCACGGCCCCTTCGGGGCGCACCTCTGACCCAACGTCCGTACCTCCACCCGCCTGCCGAGACGCAGACCAGATGCCAAACAGTCCCTCCGAACACGGCCGGTTCTGTCTGCGGCCGACGCGGGTTCGATCGCTTTAATGCTCCTTCCACCCCACCTCAGAAGGTCCGAGCGGCAGTTTTGCCCTGCTCGCATCATCCCCACGCGCTCCGAGCAAGCACGGCGTTCGCAACGCTGTCTTCTGGCAAAAAGCCTCCCTTTGAGGTCTCCTCTTGGCATCACTTCCTGCATTTTGTTTGGGGTTTGGGTTTTTTTTTTTTGTGTCAAAAGGAAGTAACTGTGCTGCTCTTGCAAAGTTGATCCAGCTCAAAGATTTTTCTTACCCGTGGAAGCATAACCTGAGATTCCCTAACAGGGCAGAGGACAGTCGAGTTCAGTTTGCAATGTAGATTTTTGCTAATTGTGATGTACGGCGGTGGGCCTGATTTGTAATACAAATGTTATTTAATCTGTCTGTATTTTGATACTTGAATTTCCTTTTATTTCCTGTATATACAATTGTTAATCTGTTCAAATTTGTCTGAATTTTAAACATCTTGTGGTACCAAACATAACCAATCTGTGCAACAACATAGACTGACCTCACTACAACAAGGCGAGATTGTAAATATTCCTGGGCTTCCAGCAGTCGTTTTGTTGTTTTCATAACTGTACAACTTAGACCAGACCGAATTAATAAACAGGCTTAGACACGCCTTCGCCCCGTGGTGGCTGTGACCTCAGTGCTGGCGCGAAGCCTCCTGCTCACCTGTGTTAAAGCGCTGTCGGCCCTCGTCCAAGAGACCCGACCTGCGACGGGAAGGGAAAAGGGGTGAGGGCGAGTGGCTTTGGTGAGGCCACACCTCGAGTGCTGTGTTCAGTTTTGGGCCCCTCACTACAAGAAAGACATTGAGGTCCTGGAGCGTGTCCAGAGAAGGGCCACAAAACTGGTGAAGGGTCTGGAGAATATGTCTGATGAGGAGCGACTGAGGGAACTGGGCTTGTTTAGCCTGGAGAAGAGGAGGCTGAGAGGAGACCTGATCACTGCCTACACCTCCCGGAAAGGAGGTTGTGGAGAAGTGGGTGTTGGTCTCTTCTCCCTAATGACAGATGATCGGACGAGGGGGAATGGACTCAAGCCGCGCCAGGGGAGGTTTAGATTGGATGTAAGGAAGAAGTTCTTCACCGAAAGGGTTATCACACACTGGAACAGGCTGCCCAGGCAGGGGGTGGAGTCACCATCCCTGGATGTGTTTAAGAGACGGGTGGATGAGGTGCTGAGAGAGATGGTTTAGTGGCGGACAGATACGGTTGGACTGGATGATCTCTGAGGTCTTTTCCAACCCAGCGATTCTATGATTCTATGATCCGGTCCGGCACCGTACCTGCACTTCTCCGCTCCGCAAATCCCAGGAGCGAGAGAAGGTCGGGCGGTGGATGGGCAGCGCTGGCTGCGCGTAGGTCGCAGCTGCCCTTTCTGCAGTCAGAACGACCCCAAATATCGGATATTGCTGACACCGGCTATGTGTAAAAACACCCCCACAGGTTCTGTTAAAGGCAGAACGGGCTCCGACCGCCTTGTTTATCTTTGCCACGTGATGGCAAGAAAAGCTCCTTGTTGCCCCCGCTAATGCACAGGGATTGTCCCCCTGGGGACTGTCAGGACCCTAATTTACTACTGGTAAACCCTAAAATCACAGCTCTGCGGCACGGCAGTGAGCGCTTTGTGTCCCAACTCCAGCAGTTTGGGCAGTCACTCATACAGTATTTACCAGGAAAGATTTCCAGCTTGCCAAGAAGTAGGACATTTTCATTATGTAAAACGAGAGCGAGAAATCCAGACATTTAAATACAGGTTAAAGTTCAGGTTTTCATGTCAAGTAAAATCTGGCTGATGTAAAATATTCAATACACCGGGGGTTGCTAAATTTATACCATATGTTCCATTTCTCATCAGGCAGTAAGTCGGGGTTTCAAGCTAACACCAAAACGTATGGAGCAGTTTTAATGATTTTAAATGCCATGTGGCTTTATCAAACGCCAGCAGCGTCCCTGGGCTGTGACTAACGCTGCAGCAAAGTCGGTTGCAGGCCCATGGCAGAATTAACACCTTGAATTAAACACAAAACCCCTAAGCTGCGCTGCAGTTTTACCAGCCCGACTTCCTCCTGCCTTCCCCACCAAACAGCGGCAGGGTTTTTTTGGGAAGAAAAGCCCAAACTTTTTGTAGTTGAGAGGTTTATTCAGATACCGACGTGCCACGTCGCTTCCCGGTAGCAATGCTGGCCGTGGCACGTTTGCCCGGGTGATGTTTTACAGGCTGAGGTGTGATGGAGAGTGCGTCCACCCTGCCCGCTACGTGGTGCTGATGATGAGAAAGAATCCATCCCTTCAGCCGAGTCGGGTTCTGTGTCCGGGAGAAGCAACTTCCTGCGAATTCCTGAGTAGAACGGTCCGAACACCTGCCTGTTGCGGCGGATCGCGCTTCCAAACCTGCACCCAACATCCAGCAGCTCTTCCTGAACAGGATCAAGGCCCTTCGGGAAATCTTTTGGAGAGTCTGTCCATCAGAGGAAATGAAAAGGCTGAGGAAGGAGTGAATCCGCTGCTCTGTAGGGAGAAAAAGCATGAAAAGAAAGACATAAATGGACAATATCAGCTTTGCACAGAAAGCGGGTTTTGAGACAGAGGTTCCTCACGCCGGCAAGAGCCGATCTGGTGACAGCCGCGTCGTGGCAGGATGCTGCGGACAAGGAACGCTCTAGACCAAGTCGGGGACACAGTGCATGAACATATTCTTCTTCCAGATACCAAGCAGATGAGCATCCAGCACAGCAACTGAGGTGGAAGCGGGTGGCACACGGGGAGCCCTCGAGGATCGGGTGTACTTGCCTTGTTCTCACTCTGTCCCGGGTCGCTGCTTCTCACGACGGCTGTCGCTGGGGAACTGGGCTGAAGGACTTAACAATGGTCAAATCCACCAAACCTCACGCCAGCACGGAGCAGTAAAGCTCTTTCACCCGCTCCGAGAGTTTCTGTACCGCATCCAAGTGCCAAGCATCTTAGAAGCAGAGTGGAACGTAGCACTTCAGAGCCCGGGATGTATCTCGCCTGCCACAGCATTTGGAGGTTGAAAGCATTCAAGAAGCCTCTCGGAGGAACACAGAGCTGAGGTTCAACTACCCGGCTGGTTCAGATGTTCCTGCACTCGAAGCGAGTGCACGGCAAACGCTGATAGAGGCCAAGAGTGCAGGCAAAACGCGGGTTTGATTTTCAGACACCAAAGGGGGAAGCCTGTCTAGTTCTGCAGCTTCTAATGCCACCCCATCGGTGAGCACTGCCCTCACACACTGCCCAGCCTACAGTTTGCGGAGGTTTGGGTCAGGCTATTAACTCAGCCTCCGGAATTACATCAAAACAAACCAGCCTGCTCTGACACGGAAGGAATAAACCCAAATAAACAGTGTGGTGGAGTCCACACAGGCCGGGAAGGATACTTAACTAGCTGAAGCGGTGGGCAGGAAGAGCCTCACCTTATTTTCATAGCTGATAAAAGCTAGTCTTCCACATGGAAATAATCTTTCCTGGAGCTGCCCGTGGCACTGCGATCCGACGCGGAGTTAGCGTTCAGAGTACTACTAAAAGGTCAAAATAACCAGCTCTTCTCCCAACCATTTGGATAAATATTTTGATGGAGCGGCATTGTGGGGCAGCTGGTCAGCTGAACACCAAGCAGTGCGCTCGCCAGGGATAAATATTATTTAAAGATCTTAGCGTGGTGCTTCACGACAGCCAGTGGTTAAGCTCCCGCTCTACATCGTAGCCTGACGATTGCGACACTCCCTAGGAACAGGCCTTGTGCTTGGGGCCTGTTTAGCTTTTAGCAAGGGATTAAGAGATTTTTCAAAGCAATTGCTGTTTGGGAGTGTTTTGGGGTGGAATAGGAAAATCAAGGCAGTTTCTAAACCTGGTTTCCCTCACCCTTCTCTTGTGCAGACTCTGGGGAGGGAGGGGCAGAGAGCGAACGCCGCTCCCACCCTCACGCAGCAGCGCTGCGCTTTGCGAGTGCCGATCCTAGGCCTGTCCTGCACGCAACAGGGTCGGCGGCCTAAACCCGAGTTGTGGCCTAGGAGAGCGGAGTGGCTTCAAGGCCGAGTTAGACCTAAGCCCAGAGACTCACCGATGATACGCCGGACTGCGTTGTGTCCGTGATGCTTTTTATCTGGCCTTTCAGGGAAGCACACTTGGCAGGGGTAAAAGCAGGGTGACCCAGCTGGGAGAGAGTCCTGCTGACTTCCCGGAGCACCTGGTCGCTGATGTCTTCTAAAGCGTCTTCATACCTAAACCACACAAAGGTACACGCACTGCGACCACAACCCACAGGGGCTGGGGAAGGGTCCTGCAGGCACCAGGCAAGGAGGGAATTCTCTCCACGTGTCCAGCATGTCATCACAGCCAGCTAGCACAGGACAACAAGCATCCAGCCAGAGCTCTGTGAACTAGGCTTCCCTTCCTGGCTCTTGGGCAAGCTGCTAGGCTGTTTGGGCAGTCACTCATACAGTATTTACCAGGAAAGATTTCCAGCTTGCCAAGAAGTAGGACATTTTCATTATGTAAAACGAGAGCGAGAAATCCAGACATTTAAATACAGGTTAAAGTTCAGGTTGACTCAGGAAGCAGTGATCAGCATTATTAATTCTCCCCTCTAATCAAGAGGGAAATAGTGCTCTAGAGAGTTAAATCCCAGCTAAAAGTGCTGCCTGGCTTCCCCCACTCCTTGCAGTAGATCTGGCTGCTATTTGGATCTCAGATCCTCTTCCAGGAGAGGTTCCTACTGCTCATCCCACAACCAACCAGTGCCTGCATACTGACTCTTCTCCTGGAAAAGAAAACTCCAAGTAACCCCCCTGGTACAAGACAGCCCTTCCAAGAGGACCTTTGTTACCTGTTTCAGCCTAGCTACAAACCCAGGTGAGCCACGCAAGGTGCTTCCACATGTGCCACTGGTGATGGGCAGGACGTCAAGCTGCTTGAGCTGCGCCTGTACTTCCTGCAGCCGGGCCCGATCCATAAACAGCATCTGTGGACAGAAACCAAATCGGGCTGCGGGTGTAGAAACAGCTGTGGTAACCCAGCCGTGGAGCAGGGCTGTCACCTCGCCGTGAAACTGAGAGGAAAGCAGCTGCTTGGCAGCAGGGAGGTTTAGTTTTGTGAGAAATACAATTTGCTTCACGTAGGGAAAAACCATAATGATTCATGGTGTCGCGGGGGCAGAGCCTGGCCGGTTCTTTCTATAGAACATGCAGAATTGGTACGCTTGTTCATTCTGTGTATCTTTATGGAAAAGCTGTAAAGGTATCCAAGCACTTCTCCTACCTCAGGGTGTTCCTTTTGCCGAGGCTCCCAGCAGAGCAGATTCATGTATCCTCGATTTAGCACGGCCCTGAGGCTTGGCACCGTGCTGCCACCACCGACAGCCCCGGCCAGGCACTGCCTGCCGGCCCGGCTGGGCCGGCGCCTGGGACGCGGGCACTTCTGCTGCTGCTCTGCACAGCCGCTCTCGTGTGCCGTCCAGGCTACCTGCAGTGGGGTGACAGAGAGGGGTGTGTGCTGGTCGGCAGACCGGTCAGGCTACGGCGGCGCCGTGCTACACCGCAGGGTGAAGGGGATGTGGGTTTGGAAGGTGAAGGCATCGTGCTGGCTCTTGGAACGGTGGGGAATGTCTTAGGGCAGCACCAACCTGCAATATTAATGTCCTGTTGCCAGGGCACAGGGTTAGGCCACTGCGACTGCTCTCCAGAGAACACTGCATTTCACAGCGGGTTTCAGGCTCCCAGAAGCACCTTTGAGGGAATCATAGAATGGTTTGGGTTGGAAATGACCTTAAAGACCATCTAGTTCCAACCCCCCTGCCATGGGCAGGGACACCTTCCACTAGACCAGGTTGCTCCAAGCCTCATCCAGCCTGGCCTTGGACACTTCCAGGGATGGGGCATCCACAGCTTCTCTGGGCAACCTGTCCCAGTGCCTCCCCACCCTCTGTGGGAAGAATTCCTTCCTGATATCCAATCTAAACCTCCCCACTTTCAATTTAAACCCGTGACCCCTTGTCCTGTCACTACAGGCCCTTGTAACGACTCCTTGATGGAGTCTGATGGAGGAGGGAGGCCGCCAGAATTCTGCATCCTCGCAGAAGAGATGTCTACATCAAAGGCAGGTTTTCCTCTTCAAATACGCCTCCTCACAACGTTTTGCTCATCCCTCTGAGGATCCCAAAACACTTCAAACTCGTGAGAACTTAGAGTCCCTCACGAGAAGGCTCTTAGCTCTGTCTTACGTGCGCACAGAGCGAGGCACGCTGAGCGACTCCTCTGCATGGTACGTCAGCCAAGAGCCTCGAGAAGGCACCCACGAGTCCTCCAGCATTAGAGGCATTTCCCTCACGCTGCTGAGCGCATGGTGGAATCATCCCCTTTGGAATACGGAAAGTTGCCTTTCAGAGCTTTAACAGCTCCTGTAGAAGTAGCAGTTCTCCTCTCCCTTCCCCACTGACTCACTGGGCAGCTTATCCAAGAGATCCTGGAATTTCTTCTGCTCATACTGGACGGTGTGGTCTTGCCAGTGAGTGCGGAGGCTCTGGACGGTAAAATTCCATTTTCATCAGGCCCGACACCCGGAAAATCTCCCTGGGATGAGACACAGTGAATTGAAGGTTTAATACTGCAGGAAGTGCTGTAAATGGGGGTCGTTTCAGAAAGGGGATGCTGAGAAAGGGGAATTCAGATCCTCCAACTCGGTTCCATTTTCTCACAAAATGTTGTTCAGTCTAAGTGGAGTGGGCCCTAAAAATTCCCAGATAAACCAGATCTACTTCACTAAAGACTCTCATACTGTATATGTTGCAGCTGGGCAACAGGAATATGTCTACATTGGAAAAAAAAAAAATTGGGATGTCAAAGCCCAGAATGCACGCAAGGGTCGTGGGGCTGCAATTCCAAGGCAGTTTCCTCTTAACCCAGCGTTTCCTGATTGAAGGTTTCGCCGGTGTGTGTAGACCAAGGCAGAGTCAGCATCACCCACCTGAGAAGTCGAGCTGGGTCTGCGAGGCTTCGCAACCCTCGTACTTCCTCACCCCGAACGGGCACGCGCGGCCTTGCCATCGTGCCGAGGATGTAGGTGGCGAGACGGAGGATATCCAGAGCCCCGTGCTCCGCCTCCTGGCTCATCAACTCCGTGTCCAAGACCTCCTCAATCTGGGTTCGCAGCTGGTTGTGCCGTGGCAGCAGCAACGCCAGCAGAGCCTGCCCAAAGCAGCAGCGGTCTCTTTTTGGCCCGGGAACTTGACAGTTCTTCAGAGTTGCTCAATGGGAATTTAGGTTGGCTTAAGATTGAGACTAAACTAACTGCTCAGTACACAAATTCTGGGACACACAATCGCTTTAAGGGAGTGCTTGTCTCTAATGACTCACTTCAGGATGTCTGGTTACTGTTTCACATCTTGCAAAACATGGTCAGGCATGAAAAAAGGGAGTTAAGGGGAGCATAGACCCAAAGAGCAAACTGTACACAACTTCATGCCCTGCTAAGAACATGTGTCTAACCGTGTTCTTACTACCCTGTACAATTAAATACATTAAATACATTAAAAAAAAATAGATACAGGTCCTCGTGTACCTGAGGAGGTGTCTGTGTACAGAGAATGGCAGTTTTTGTTCGGCAGACGCTACACTGGGAATGGCCTACGGCTGTTGCGACAGCCAACTGCTCCAACAGAGGCTTTCCATCCTTTCGGTAGGGTATGTGTTTTGAAGACCTGGGACCAGAGAACGAGTTTCCTTCTCAGACAGATTTTAGAAGATGCAGTTGTGTAATTTGTGTCTCCCTATAAACTAACAGGAGCCTATCTTCTCCTCTCCTTCATGCACATTCCATAGGAATATTGGATGTGAGGGAAGAGGTGATGATTCAGAGAAGACCAAGTCTAATGTAACCACCTTCCCTGGTTCAGGAACAGCTCACTCACCTCTTTTACCTCCTGCAGCAGCTGGATTGCCCGAGCGCAGTCCAGGGAACTAGCAGAGAGCTGTTCCTCCAGGCTGTCCCAGAAGGGATATTTGTGCAATGTCTCCTTCACTCTGGTTTCCAGCTAAGAAAGAGGAGCGGGGAGGGGTTTTCGATTAACATCAGACACCCACAACCCCTCAGTTCCTCTCGGCTTTCATTGCAGTTCACGTCTTTGGACGTTCTCTTTTCTTAGTCTTTACTCCTATCTGGCAGCCACGCGCCTCACCTTTCTCTATCCCATGGAAATCTCTCTCATCCTACATTTTCTAAAGTAGAACTCCTTCTTGTCAACCCTGTTCCTAACATGCAGCACTTAACCTGTCTTAACTGAGGCGTAAGAGGAGCATGGCATTTTCCAGGGAAACTCTCCAAGCCCTCAGAGAAGATCAACAGAGAATGTTTTTCTCGCTAGTGCTTGTTTTTGCAACGAGAGGATGCCAGTCACTTAAACAGATCTTTAACTAAAACGTAGGCACCTCGGAGGGGATCTTCACCGACAAGTCCGCTTTGTTCATGTCGAATCTTTCAGCGTTAGTGAGTCATATCTGAGACGTATTTGAGAACTTCTTACTAAATCATGAAGCAACGGATAAATAAAACCAGTGCCAACGGTGTGGGTTTGGGTTTTTTTTTTTAATTTCAGGAGCTATCTGATTTTCTTGTTGCTTCTACAGTCGGATCCAAACCCACCTCCTTCCCACGCTCTCACGGCTGCTGTGAGGTGACGGAGCCGAGCCCGGACGCACACGTGCCCGTCTGGGGAGAGGCTGGCCGCCTGCAGCTTGAAGTCACCGCTGAGAATTTCGTGGGCAATGGTCAGTTTGGAATTGTCATCCGTCAGCTGCTGGAGATGGCTCACGGAGAGAGCTCACCGAGGGCTGGCTGTGGAAAAGCGGAGTGGGAATGAATGAAGACCGGAGTTTCCCGAGAGAAGGAGGTTTGAAAGAATTCCCGGACAGCTTTTTAAGTGGCAAAATGACAACGTGCAGGTTTGGGTTAGGGACATCAAACCTCACTTTCCGTGGGAGCGAAGGGACCTCCCTCCCCCCC